TGCCGATACGATACATACCTCGATACACAGGCCACGATATGATACATATCTTGATACAGTGAGCTTTTGATTCGATACAGTTCAATACAATTTAATTCAAATCGATTCGATATGGTTCAATAATAAATAAAGGCTAAATCGTGGCTGTGATAATAAAAGTCTTTGTTAAACCAGTTTTTGTGCAAAATTCAAATGAAACACAAACATTTTAATCATCAAAACAGTGAAAATATCAAATGTGTCACACAAACAAGTTTCTTTCTCTAAACAAGCAACAAAACTGTAGCGCTATAAAAAAAATAATTTAGTAAAAAATCACATGTGTCATCACATTAAACGATACAATGTATTGATATTTTGATACTTTTTGCACACCCCTAGTATGAGATCATTTGTATTAATCACAACGCCGCTGTATGATACTCCTATCCAAAGTGCTGGACAATTAATATAATTAATTTATTAAAATTTATTAATTATGTTTTTTAACAATTGAGATTTTGAAAAATTACAAAATTATGAAATTGAGGCTTATTATGAAACAAGTTTACTTAAGTTGACTTTTGCACTTTCAAAGTAGGGTTAATTTGAGTGAGATATCTCTAAAAATGTAGATTAAGGTGGTTTACAATTTCCTAAATGGCAGCATGAAATGTAAAGAGCTTCTGACGCAAGAAAGACAAGCTCTCTCTCTGCTCAAATGTGTGCAAAAAAATCAAGGTTTTATTTTTTTGCCGTATCGCCCAGCCCTACGATGCTGTAAATGTACAGTTGTGACTTTCCCTGTAGACCTAAATGTTGTTTAGATTTACTGACTTATTCTTTGACAAACAGACTTGACATGGCTCATAGTAATTACTTAATTATTGTTAGTCAAAGGCACAGTGAAAGAAGTACAACACAAGACCAAGTTTCACATATCAGAGAATCTGTGTTGCAACTATGAACTGTAATATTTATAGATTTTGATAACATTTTCAGGTCAGGTCAATGTCATTTCTATTTGTCCGGAACATTTGCCGGTCTAATCTAGTTTTTTATGTATCATATCAGTACTGATATGGCACTGATATATATCCCTAAAAATAAACCACAATTGACAGACAATTATATCTGATTTAAATCTAACACTCCAACATGATTCACCACAGTGCAGGGCTGGGTGATGTGATAAAAATTTAATTGTGATATTATTACTTCAATCTGCTATTTTGTCTTTTTATTATTCATGGATCATATTGTGATTCACTTTTTCCTTGCCACAGTAGCAATTTTTTTCCATTTTGATTCTGTTTATTGCATTGAAAAACTTGTGTCTTTACTCTGAGTTGGCTTGAATCTCCACAAACCACATCAAATTTTTCTTGCCAAAATAACCATCACATTTACCACTGTACCCTCCCTGTAGGTGACATTATCCCCTCGTTTTCTGCTCCTCTGGGACGCTGCTGCTGCCTGTGCCCTCTGTCCTGGAGTTGGTGTGGGCAGGCTCTTTGTCCGCTCATGTGGACGAAACAGAGGCACGACTCACACGCAAAACAATGGAGAGGGCACAGCGCAGAGAGGAGAGGAGAGAGAGAGAGAGATGGAGGAGAGGAAAGAGAGAGGGGAGCAGAGATGGAGAGATAACGACAGAGAGGGTAAAAGGGGGAGAAATAAAGATGGAAAGAGGAGATTGAAAAAACAGAGGAGGGGAGGAGTAAAGATAGAGAGGAGAGAAGTGGAGCAGAAATAGAGAGATAACGACAGAGAGGGTAAAAGGGGGAGAAATAAAGATGGAAAGAGGAGATTGAAAAGAGAGAGAGGAGAGAGGGTGGGGGAGAGATAGAGGGGGAAAAAAGAGAGTGATTGGTGTTGTAGAGGTAGAGAGTGAAAGACAGAAAGTGGAGGAAAGAGAGGACAGGGAACGAGAAAAGAAAGAGGGAGAAAGAGAGAGAACCCGGGCACAAAGGATGGCTTCTGTTATTGTGACACATACAAGCCACATACGAACATGGCACTGGAACATACATTATAGTATAGACTAGAGGGATATATGGTGTGCACAATTAAGCACAATCACACTGCATTATTTAATATTATGTGATAAAAGAAAAGCATTTTTAAAAAGCTGTAAAAAGACAAACTTGCACTTTTATCTTTAGCATATATAGATTGTCAGAATATTGTCCGAATTTTGTCATTTTGTAATTCTAGGATTAGGATCAAACTCGTTCCCCTTGTCGTCTCTGCGGCTGTAAATTCACATGTGACAATTCACTTTAGTCGTTTCTGCGGTTGTACTTGTTTGTTAAATAACATGATGTTGTTGTGAGAATGTCCAAGTTTACATAAGATAAGAGATAAAGATTTAAGGACAAAAATTAGAAGCATGTGAAAAGTCAAGGTTTAGTAGTCATGAAAACAGTAAAAACAGAAAAGTTAAGCCTCGCTGTTTGGAGTCATGGCCAGAAGGCGGGACTTACTTAGTTATATTCACTTGAGTAACTTTTTGACTAAACTTTTTTGGATGCCATAAGTTTACTCACACTTAATATTATTTAGTTCGAAGTAACAAGTGCTCTTTCTACTGTAAAAGTTTTCATTACGCTTCCCTCTGTGAGTAAGTCTTTTTTCTTTTTTGTGATCTATCTTTTGAAAATACCATATGTTGAGTATTATCCTTTCCTGTCCCTATTCCTATTCCTATCCTGCCCTTTCAATTACATTAACTTCAAATTATAAGTTAGATATTACACCATCTGGACAGTTACTTTTTCCCAAAATACTTTTTTACTCTTAGGCTGCGTTTATATGATGACGTCTGAATAGAAGACGCAAAAGTGGTGTTGTGTCTTCATTATTTATTTTAGACAAGCTTTTTTGGGAGGAAATCTGCATGCATACGGTAACGCAAAAGTGTGTGGAATTGGATTGGGTATGCAAACCAGACGGCTCGGTGGTGACGCTAGGTGATGTATGTGACGTAAACGCGTACGCGATGTGAGTAGATCTGACCAGAGTTTTGCGTCTTGGGCAGCATAGACGGAAACACTAGGACGGAGCGTATTCAACTTTTCCACTCTGGAGGGTGGTTTCAGATTTTTGCGTTTTTAAGCCAAAAACATCAGCGTCTAAATGAAAGGCACTTCAGATAAAATATTTTGTTGTTATTACCCGCAAGCGTTCTCGTGTAAACAGGCCCTAACTTTTTGAGCTACTACTTTGTGCTTTTCCTTGAGTAATATTACTTCAGAGTTACTAGCCCAGTCACAGTAATTACTATGATCATTAATATATTGTGGCCCTTTAAAATGTGTTATTGTGACAGGTCTAGAAGTTATGAAACAACTTTTGGTGACTCTACCCACTTTCTGGTCATGACCAAGGCTGTCCTCTTCTCTCTGCAGAACTCTCAAAATAATAGCATCTTTATTTAGCCGAGCTCAGCCTTCCCTTTTTAGTTTTTCTTTCCGATGACCCCATCCAGACAGTAATATGTATTTGGGCATGTTTCTGGAGGCAGTGGCAGAGGTTTTGGCCTGCACAGAAAGAGGCTATTCTTTTGCATAGAGAAAAACTGGGATCCAACACAGCTTTAGAGAGGAAGGAAGCTGAACCAGAGCAGAATCTGGGGCAGACGGAGATCAAGGGGTAGATAGAAAAAAATAGAAAAGTGGGCAAAAAAAGTGCATTAAATTGTCCCAGATGTTTGGAGCAGACTGGGTAGTGGCTGGTATTACACAGAACAGAAGCATGTTGTCATAATTGGAGGCTGAAAACGCTGAGGTGAGCAGTTTTGTGGGAGTCAGAGGATCCAGGTTAACTCTCCATAATGGACCTGCCTGCATGGACATATTTGTTACTTTAGCCAGTCAGCAAATAGAAAAGCATTGTCCGGGATAGTTCAATGTTATTTTTATTTAGAATAATACATATATGATAAAAATATGATTAAAAGAGCCCATATTACATTATATTCTGATTTATGTTATAATGTTTCTTCATCACAAACAGACCTGGAGTTATGTTTTGTTTCATTCATTCACACGTTTAACACACAAACCCTATGTATTTATATTGAGTTCTTCTCTCAAACAGAAAACACTGTGTTCCACATTGTGATGTCATGAGGTAATACAGGACATGCTTCACTGTGCTTTTAAACTCAATCATGGTTTCAGCCCTGGAATTGCCAATCTATGAACTAAAATATTTTGAACTTTGGAGATGTAGATAGACTAATAATAAAGGATTCAAGGACTCAGACTGGTGTGAATGAAAGAAAACACAACTTCAAACAACTTTGTTTTTGATGAGGCAACAACATTATAACATGACTTAAAGCTCACAAGAATCAATTTTGTGTAATATAGGGCCTTTAAAGATACATAACTTTCTGAAGGTGGCACGTTGCCTGCACGATTCAATGGAAATAGAATGTTTAAAACACACTTTTAAACATTCTCCATGGAGATTGTTTTATGCTATACTTTTGATGATTATAGCCAAAGGAACAATATTTCCATGGAAATGAGCAGAAACGGGCTCTCCACTCAAATACGAGTCAGGTTTGTGGAGATGCAAGTTTCTAAAAAAGTTTTTCAGTGCAATAAACACAGCCAAAATAACTACTTTAGTCTATTTTTTTGCTAAAAGTCACATAGTGTGGCTTTAAGTACATCTTTAATGTTGCATTCTGTCTTATACATTCGTGTTCAAGCCTGTAAGCGTTTATCCATGTTCTATGTAAACAGGGGTGATGTTATTGTTCATCAAGGATTTTGTGTCCTGATAATGTAGTTGGGAAAATCCAAAACTACAGGCTGTTGAGTCTTAACAAAGTGTTTACATACTTTGGGACTGGACCGTGTCTGATCTGATAAATGTCTTGATGTCAGTTTAGGTAACCAGGAAGTACAATATTCACACAATTACCTATTCTGTATTGAGTTAAATATAATTTTGTGCAATTGCAGTTATATGAAACATACAATATTTTTTTACTTTTGTGTCCTCAGGTTTGAGAAGGGCAGGATCTACACGTACATTGGAGAAGTGGTGGTGTCTGTTAACCCTTACCGTGCCATGAACATCTACGGCCGTGACACCATAGAGCTGTATAAAGGGCGCGAGCTGTACGAGCGCCCACCGCACCTGTTCGCCATCGCTGACGCTGCGTACAAAGCCATGAAGAGGAGGAGCAAAGACACTTGTATTGTCATCTCAGGTAACAGGGAAACCCCTCTCACCCAGCCCCCTGCACCCAGCACCTCACACCCTGCCCTCTACACACAGACCACTGCACTCAGACCACTGCTACTGTTTTACTGTGTGTTCAGAGAGGCTCTATGTTGACATGTAAATGATGTAATCCTGAGGCAGAGGAGGCCTCTGGGAAAACATACATCCACTTCCAGTTCAAAATACCAATTTGCTCCAAAAGCATGTGGCTGCAAGCTGCAAGTACACACAAAACAAGTGAATACAGCACCACTCAGTGGTCAAAGAAGGAAGTGACACCAGTGATTCAAGTAGAGACATTTCAGGTCAATCCTTTTACTTGAATTGTGTGTTTTTATTGACCTAATTTTTGTTTTTATTGCAGGGGAAAGTGGAGCAGGAAAAACAGAGGCCAGCAAATACATAATGCAATACATCGCTGCTATCACTAATCCTAATCAAAGGGCTGAAGTCGAAAGGTATTCTCTCTCACTGTGATGTGTGGGTGATGTCAGAAGGTCAGAAGTTTAAAAAGGGTTTAAATATTGACTAAATACAATGTGACTGATAACATTATGCCGCACCCACAGTCAGTATTTGAGATAAGATATTACGTCACAATTATTTAGCCTGAAGGCGAAAATATTTATACTTAATATTTGTTATGGGTAAAAACACTAAACCTAAACCATATAAATTATATTACATTATATATTTTGTTTTTAAAAGGGTAAAAAATATGCTGCTGAAATCCAATTGTGTCCTGGAGGCCTTTGGAAATGCCAAGACCAACCGTAACGACAACTCCAGCCGCTTTGGGAAATACATGGACATCAACTTTGATTTCAAGGGTGATCCAATCGGAGGCCACATCAACAACTACCTGCTGGAGAAGGTACGAGCTGGTGTCTTTAATACTGGAGAGAAAAGACTATACTGTAAACCTTAATGTCTTATTGTGCTCCTACAAGAGGTTTATATATATAATGGAAATATATATATATATATATATATATATTTTTTTTTTTTTTTTTTTTTTTACAGTCCAGAGTAATTTTCCAACAAGAAGGAGAGAGGAGCTTCCATTCTTTTTATCAGGTAACATTTATAATTTTGAGCCTTGCAAAAACACTTACTTTATAATGACTAATGTGAACATAACACACTTACAAAGACTTAAAACATAATGAACAGTTTATTAATAATGATTCAGGCTCAGTAACTACTAAATAATTCCCTAACTCCTAACCCTAACCCTTGAGGGGTTACTAAGTCTGAATTTTCATTCATATTCATGCTTTACATTAAGCCTATTCAGTGTATAATTTTAAAGCTAATATTTTTTTTTCTCTGTTAGTTACTCAAAGGAGCTCCAGAATCCTTACTACGATCTCTTCACATCCAGAAAGACCCAAAAGCATATAACTATGTCAAAGTCGGAGGCCAAATAAAGGTATTTATTGACTTTCTCATGTTAAGGATAGTTTTGTTTAGCCAATGAGACAATACCCAATACACATTAACTTTAAAAGGAAAAATGTGTTGTTGAATGTTAGGGCTGTGGTTCTCAAACTTTTCACAGGAAATAGCACCAAAAGTGCCATAGTAGTAAAATGGCTATCTGGGTACCACCAGGTCTAACTAGAGCTAAACAAGGTCTGACGTAGTCTTAAATGAAGAAAGACTGAAATATTTATAGATTTATTAGTGTTTTGCGTATCACAGTTTGAGAAACACTGTGTTAGCGATTATACTGTATTTGATTTGCATGTGTTTATGAGGCTGACAGAGCATAAACCAGACTATGACTTGCAGATGTTGTCTCCCCACTAACTCACACAAGAAAGACCGTTTTAGAGACAGATATTTGTTTTGAAGTTGAAGTATTGTGTCAAGCTTTGGAACACTGTCATTTCACCTGTAATTACGAGCGTGTGCGCAGGGTTAGGAGGAGACTCAGGGTTATCATTTCAACATGGCGTGCCTCCTGCTGCTGTTTTTGCATCCACATAATGGGCCTGGAAACCACTGCACAATAACAAACATCTCACATCATCCCCAACACTAAACCCAAAGAGCTGAGTCAGCGCTTTGCTCAACACCGCATCAGCAAATCTGACTTTATCGCTCTACGTAGTGTTGTGGATAATTATTTTGAGTAGCTGTTAAATGTGTGAATATGTGGTGCAGATGTATTGTAATAAGAGGTGGTCACTGGAAGCATATTAATTAAATTTATACCCAAGATAATCACAGTAGTAGTGCTTTCTGATCTGTTATAATGTTGTTTCCTCATCCAAAACATATCTGGAGGGTGTTTTGTTTCATTCGCTCATGTTTAACACACAAACTCTGCACATTTTATACTGAGCTTTTCTCTCACTGTTTGACCTTGTGATGTTATGTGTCAATACAGGAAGTGCTTTAAAATACAGTGGGTGTTTTTAATCTACATATACTTTTACTAAATTTGGATAATTTCAGCCCTCTACTGAACAAAACATGAAAGGAATCTCCCACTACATGCCATCACAAGGTGGAATAGAGCATTTTGAGCTTTGGAGAAGTAGACAGAGTAATAATAAAGGGTTACTCAAAAGTGGAGACAAGCAGCTGGTTTCAACAATGTAAATAACATTGTGTCCTTGGTAATTTTGTACATTACTTAATAGAAATAATATATATAAATAATGGTACTTCTAATAATTGCAACTTAAAGTGTTGAAAATGCAGGGTATTGTTGACTTAAGTGTCCTCAAAGTCATGTATAAAGCAAAGTGCAATGTATTACCTGTAAATATTCAAAGACTATTTGAGATGAGAACAAGCCACTACAATTTAAAAGGAACCTACATGTTTAAAAACCCAGATTCAGAACCAAAGTTATCGAGTGAAGCATCGCTGTGAAAGGAGTTCATTTATGGAATAGTCTTGACAAAGATATAAAAGAATCAAGTACAATGATGACATTTAAAAAACACATAAAATCCAGTGCAATGTGTTTATGAAAAAGGAAGTTGTTGTGCATAATAGTGAATATTTCTGTTTGCAGTTGATTAATAATTGTGCCTGAACTGAAATGCACTGATATGAAATGTTTTAAAGTGACAATCAGTGTTGATGTTTTGTCTGGAAAAGGGAGAAGGGGCAGATAACATAAGATGACTCTTCTTTCTGCTCCTTTTCATTCATTTCTTGTTGTTGTGACACTATTAATGTCTTTTTATACTTTATGAATGAAAATAATAAACTAATAAATAATTGTTTATTCTTTGTTAGGGATGTAACGATATCTAAATCTCACGGTACAATATTATCAGAATGTGCATCTCACAGTACGATTTTCATTGCAACATTTTGGAGAGGCGAATACAAATGTGGATAGGATGCTTTTTTGCTTTTAAAATATCTTAAAAAATTTGATGTGAATTATTTCCATCATAATCCCAAGAATTCAAGTAAAAAACGTATTTCTTGATGTTGTCTGTGCTGAAATGAATTATGGGATATGCAGTTTCCTATGTTTATAAGCTGTTGCTACTATAAAACCATGCATTTAAGCAAAGGAACTTGTGATTCGATATATTGTGACAGCCCACGATATTATTTTGTGACTTTTGACGATACGATATCACGATATTTCAGTTATCGTTACATCCTTAATCTTTGTGTTATTTGATCTATTTCTGCAGTATTTGCCAGTGAGATTGTAGACACACATATTGTAATTACTGAGCTAGAAAGCCGTCTCACATTTCTTTTTGGCAGCTCTATCTGTTCATTTCTAAATCCGTGTGTGTTTGTGTCTTCTGCAGTCGGGCATTAACGATAACGCAGACTTCAAAGCTGTGGCCGACGCCATGAAAGTGATCGGCTTCACAGGGGACGAGATCCAGACCGTGTACAAGATCCTGGCCGCCATCCTGCATCTGGTACAGCTCAGTATTTCTGCATCAACTACATGTTCACCACAGCAGCTCTGTGTCCCAGTGCAGAGACTGTATGTGGATTACTGAAGGCAGTGTGTTGTCTTAGAGTTTTTTTATACATTTCTTTTTCAGTCCATAAAATTTACCAACTAGTACAATCTGTCTGTCTATCTCTGTTATATTAATGGACCAGGGGTTTATTGCTAATCGTTCATTTTTGAAGTTTTTTTTCATTTATTTTAGAAGTTTTTTTTATTTATTTCCTTTCCTTTATTTATTTATTTTATTTTATTAGTTTTATTTATTTATTTTTATTTATTTTTATTTATCTATTTAATTTTTTTTATTAATATTTGTATTTATTATTTTTAATTTAAAAAAAAAAATTATTTACTTAGTTTTATTCATTTATTTCATTTGACTTCCTGGTTGGACACGGACTGCAGATATGATATGACAGGCATAAAGATAATTTCATATCTGTTATTGAGCAACAATAATTTTAACAAGAGATAAAACTGGACTAAGTTACAGAGTAATTATGATTAGGCTTGTAACAATAAATGTCACACCTTTTATTTTGTTAAAACTGTCAGAAAAATGTCTTATGTCTCAATTGTCCCTCTGCATTTTTGATGGAATTTGCAACTCAATGCTACTTCATGTATTTTCATACATTTCTTCTGCATTTTTTTCCACAAACTGTCACTTAACTGATGAAAAACTATGATAAATATTTACCAAGGGCACTATCCCACCAAACCAAATAATAATTAGAAAAACATGATGCGCTTTAAAGGTGCATTGTGTAACTTTTCTGGTGGAAGGACCGCCAATTGCTTTTCTTCATAGAGATGTTATTGCTTTGTCTGGAATGTTTCATAGTATATTACACCTTTCTGTCTTTATGGAGACTAAACCAGACCAAGTGACAGGTCAGATCTGTGGAGAGGCAACCCCTCTCTCAGTCAGAATGTCTCTTTTTCTAGCTATAAAATCATGGGTAACTGAACAAACATTAGGTAGAGCTGTTTAATATCATACTGTGGAACATTCCAGGCAGAGCAATGACATATCCATAAAAACAGGCAGGTGACGGACCCTCAACCAAAAACTTACATAGTGCATCTTTAAGCTTAATCATATACTGTTATTTTGAGCGCTTTGTTTGTCCACAGGGTAACCTAAACTTTGGCATGGATGGAGACGTGACCCTCATAGAAAACGCAAAGCTGGTGTCTGTACTCAAAGATCTGCTCTCCACCAAAGAGGAGAACGTGGAAAAAGCATTACTGTATCGCACAGTCGCCACCGGAAGAGATGTGATCGAAAAACAGCACACTGTACAAGAGGCCAGCTACGGAAGGGACGCTCTGGCCAAGGTTTGTCTATCCATACTTTGTTGGGAGTTTTCTACATCTGTCTTTACTAACACAATGTTCAGCAGTTACCGTGGTGACACAATACACACATTAGCAAAGACTGTCAAAAAAGTTTTAAAATAGTCTGAAAACTCAAAAAAAAAATAAAAAAATAAAAAGGATTTAAATAGTACATTTTCAGGACTCTGTATTTTGACTGTAATTTTGTGTCTGAGAGTCTGGTTTAAGAGCACAAATCATCTCACCTCCTGTAGTTCCAACAAGGTCGGGGATCATTCCACCTCAATTCACCCCAAAAATTTTAATTTGAACCCTCGCATTGTCCACTTGCAAAGAAAATTGGTGTATGGGTAAGTCATAGCCAAGAAAGCCAAAATTTCACATTTTAGCATGATCGGAGTAACAGTTGCTGAGATATCGCAATTTCATTTTTTCACTTTTTTGTGTGGTTGCTGAATTTCAGATTGCATTTACTTAGCAACTACTGGTCTGATATCAAAAACCAAGGTAACTCTGGAAAATCATAAAGAATCTAAATATGGCATTTATTTTTACATTTGAGTACTTTTGAGATGAATGACCTGTTGATCTATATTTTGACCTTTAAATTGACAATAAGGGACAAGCTTGACCTCAGTGACACCAGTAGAAAAAAATTAGCCCTATATGTCTACTATAACATATAAAAAAATCTGAAGGGGTTTTCTTTTCCATAGTTCAGAAAATTGGGATGGAATTAAGACCTACCCCTCAGTTTCTGGTAAATGATGTGTAAAATGTACACAGTACATAGAAAGCCCACATGTTTGCACTGCAGTTACAAATACTACTTCTACTTACTTTTTGACGTCTTAGCTTCTTAGTTATTTATGACCATCTGTATTAGTTCCTCCTTTCTGTTTTGATCTTGTGATAGCAGTGTCCTAGTTTCATAGATATAATCCAAAGCATAGACTATTGCGGACACAAGGCTGTGCTGGTCACATCCTGTTAGCAAAGTTGCCCACAAAAATCTATTTAAAGTTCTTAGTTTCTGTAAAACAGAGAAAGAACATAGTAATACTTTCTATTCCATTTATGTATACATACTTTACATACATACAGAAACCGTTGGTCTGATAAAACTAAAATTAGAAATTTGGGCTTTTTCTGGCTTTTATATATATATGAAGTTTTATCAAAATTTTGTAGGGTTTAACTCATTGGGTGAACTGAGGTGGACTGACCCTCGATCTTTTTCTGATCAGATTGTGTTACAACAAAGCTCAGATTAAAGTCGAACTTGAGTCACAAAGCTTTAAACAGAGCAGTGCTTCCAGTTAGCTTCACACCCCCAGAAAATGTTGATGACACCAGCTGCAAAGTGTCCATTTTCAACTAAAAGACAAAAATTAAAACCGTTGTGGAGGCTTCCTAATTTGCTCGAGGGTATCTGAACATCATTAGTCACGATGCTCTGAGTCGGAGCAGAGGGTGGATGTGGAGGAAATGAGATACGAGTGGGCAGGATTAATGCTGAGGTCAAAAACAAACTGACTCACCGCTATTTGTGAAGTTTAACCTCAAATACAGAGCCGAGCAAGGTTTTAGGTAGGTGTGAAAATACTTGCAAATAAATGCACATTATTAATTTCAGAGGTTATTTGTATTTATGTGATGAACATATCCGAGGTCCCAGGTCAGTAAAAGACAGCATTTTGATCCTAATTACCAAATATTTGTGAGGTCTAAAGGCTATTTTTGCCATGTTCGTGATTTTTTTGTTTTGTTTTGTTTTTATTTTTGAAAAGAAAAAAAAAGCCTTACTGTGTTTGGCTCAGAGTCATTGCTTTTATAAAATTTGACAAGGGATTTTCTGATCTGTGAAGGGAGTGTAGTAATGTTGATTTGGGAGTCATGGCCGCTTTAAGGGATATATGACGCTACAGAACATATAATACCATCAAACCATTTCTTTATTTGTAATTCCAGGCCATGTACGAGCGCATGTTCTGTTGGATCGTGGGTCGAATCAACGACATCATCGAGGTTAAAAACTACGATGCCAATGTTCACGGAAAGAACACCGTGATCGGGGTGCTGGACATTTACGGCTTTGAAATTTTCCAAAACAACAGGTCAGTACACGTTAAATGATGTTACTTCCTTAAAACATACCTGGAATTGTGTTTTGTTTCATTCACACGTTTGAGTTACTCTTTATTGTTAGTCTGTCTACATTACAAGCTGGCCTAAACGTACAGGATTTGTGTGTTTAACTTGTCTGAATGGAACAAAACACAACTCCAAGTATGCTTTTGATGAGGAAACAGCATTATAACAGCTCTGAAAATAGTAATATGGGCTCTTTAATGCTGATTTAAATGCGTTTGCCTTTGTTTCAGTTTTGAACAGTTCTGTATAAACTACTGCAATGAGAAGCTGCAGCAGTTGTTCATCCAGCTGGTGTTGAAGCAGGAGCAGGAGGAGTATCAGAGAGAGGGAATACCATGGAAACACGTAAATAAATACTCTGATTTTAACCTGTTGACATGAGTATGTTAATGCATATATGTGGTTTCATTTTATTGGCAGAAAACCACTTTCCACTCAAGTTTTTATGGACATTTTAGTGTTTTAGTAGAGCTGGAAATGTTGATGGATGTTTTTTTTTATCTTATACTGTAGTTCTGTATATAGCACTAGTACAAAGTAATGATTGTATCTGAAGCAAGAAACCTCGCATGGGTCCCCCAATGATATAAATGAATAGGAACAAGGTATAATTCTAATTCTAGTTGTGGTATTTTATTTAAGACCTTTTTATCTTTATATACACCAGTCAAAAATTTGGACACGCCCTCTCCTATGTTTATTTTTTCTACTTTCTACATTTTAGATACATACAAAAGGCATCCAATATATATGGAATTATGTAGTAAAGGGAAAAAAAACATTTTTTTTTACATAGAAAATGGTGGCTACTTTGAAGATTTGAGTATAAATAAAATATATAAAAATAGTCACTAGAGAAATTTTTGTACTTTTTTATCTTTGCAACATAATTGCATATACCTTATTTCATACATTTGATGTCTTCTGTATGTATGAAAAACAAAGAAAGTTGTAAAATTACAGAAAAAAACGTAATAAGATGGTGCATCCAAACTTTTGACTGGTAGTGTAGCTGTTAATATATTTGAAATGATCTTACTTATTATTTGAGGACATAATGTAATGTCCTATATCTTTTCCACAGATTGATTACTTCAATAACCAGGTCATCGTGGACCTGGTGGAGCAGCAGCACAAAGGGATCTTCTCCATCCTGGACGAGGCCTGTATGAACGTGGGAAAAGTCACTGATGAGGTTTTCCTTCAAGGACTCAACGTAAAACTGGCCAAGCATGCCCATTACACCAGCCGCAAGGTACGATCACACTCTTAACTACACACATGATTGATTGATTTGATTGATTTCCAAACTAAGATATCTGCATTAGTCGAATTCTGCATTTTTTCAATTAATTTAAATAATACCTATTTTCCACCTCAGTACTTTTGTAAATGTGCTTTCTTTTAGTACCCTTTAAGCAAACTATAGCTCCTTTCCTTGTTAGATACCAATCACACCAAGATTAAAAATTTAACTTTAACTTTTTTCAAGTTTAAATATATTTTATCAGTACTTTATACAAAAATTTCTTATTAAAAACATCACATTTCCTTCTATACAATTTACAATCTATACAAGTATGTTTAAATAATATGCTATCATTTATGATGGTGTTATTTCAACTTTTGAACACTAGAGGGCAGATTGTAGCAGTGTTTAGGCACAGGCATAGGACTGTGTACCACCTTTTTAAATTCAATAATGAGGAAATCTCACAGACTAATGTATACTAATGGACTGTCCAGCCAGAATCACATAAGCCAATTTGTTCACAACAGCCATGTCATTTTGTCTGTTCTTTTTAAGCTTATAATAAAACAAAGATTAGCTGCTTGCACATATTATATTTACACCACTGGTCTACCTTTTTGTTGGATTATAATTTTGATACACCCCTAGTTTGATTTTACTATTTGTAGTTTTGCTTGTGGGCACTAGGGGGCATCAGCAGTCAAAGCAACATTGTGTGTTTCTGACTTGACACTTTACTGAAGTGATGTCACTGGCAGCCAATGGGAGTCTATGGGGCCGGTGTTGCGCTGTGTTGGGAGAGGAACTGGAGAAATATATTTGGCACTTAAAGAGTCAGGTGGACGGGTACTTACAGATTTATGAGACGAAATGAAAACTGGGTGGACAGGAGAGAGGAAACCAGTGATGCTGTTAAAACGAATGCTGCACCGGGCTAGTGCTCAACTGTGTACGTCCTTGGGCTACAGGGATAAAAATACACCTAGCAACAGGCTGGAGACAGAGCTTTTGGAAAGTTGTCTCCTTTTGTGTCGCATAATAAGAACACACTATTTTTATATAAAACTATACAATAATCTGGTGACATTTTTGCAGTTTGTTGCATCGTGCCTGAAATGTTTTGGTATTGTGCAAATGTGAATGAAGTTTAAAAGTATAAAAGTTCTGAAATATCACTTTAAACCATTTTGATGATTTCTTGTGTTTATTCTATGCAGCTTTTTTATTAAATGATTTAGCATTTCCTCATCTTATTCTAGCACCCACCTCTTATACTTTTTAATGCTTAAAAATGTGATTAAACAGTACAAAATGATGTGGGATTATTTGGTTCTATGGGAATTACTGACTGGGGAATCTTGGCATTATACCTCCCTGCTGCTGCTCTCTGACCCACACATCTGCTGTTTCCTGTCTCCAACTTTTCAACAGATCAATGTTAATGTTGATCACTTGTCTTTGCTTTCAGTGCCCACAGATGCCTGCCAACATTCAACAGTGATTTCAGTTTACAAATGTGCTTTAAAACGATCATGTCATCAGAGTATTTAAATAACGTTGAATCTAGGTAAAAATGCTTAGGTTTTCCAAATCCCACAGTCCTGATCCATGGATCGCAGATATCTATTCTGCCATTTCCACACCCATCCCACCCACAGAATCAAGAAAGGGAAACAGGAAGTAATGCATAGAATTTCACTGAACAAGTAAGAGTTGGGAAATCTACCTACCCAGCCAGGCGGACTCTAGCCTGATTCATCAGTTGGTTTCACTTCGTGGAAACCGTCTGACCATTAAGATTCGTTCACTCGACCAATCGCTGCAATTTGATCGTGATGTATGTAATGCGCTGCTAATGGGACTAACTGGGATATTAAGCTTTTCCCAGATCCTGTAGGAAGAAGGACAATAACATCTTTCCCCTTTATAAAATTCACCAAACATTCTCTTTGTTCTGGCTTTAAATCCTCGATCTCAGGAATCGTTGACAACACAGAATGTCTGACTCTTCGCTGATCGGCTGGTGCTCGGACTCGCACTACCAGGGTTTTTACAAACCGTCTAGTGTATTCTGATTCCTGACCTAGTCGCTGGAGAGAAATGAAATTGAGAGGAGGCACTAGGTGCTGGCAGACTGGCTTGGCGGACGTAGGGACAATGCTCAAATGCCTCAAGACAGACTGACTGTAAAAGACAGAAGAAAACAGGGACATTTTGACATAATTATCATATTAAATCAATTCATATTTTGTTCATGTATGTCCTTTTATTGGACATTTTAACTTAATATCTAGATTTTATATGTTATTGTTTTGAGTAAAAGTATAATTTTGCTGTATAATATAATTTAACATATATTGATTGCAAATACTAGTAGTTATTAACATCTGTATTTGAAGGGACAATGCTCATAAAAAATGCTCATAAAGATAGAGATGTTCTGCACTAGATTATAGCTAAACAGCGAGTTTCTATCTGCCCATCTCCCTCACTACCAACCTCATGTATAGTAAATTTCAGCTGGTTGCAAGACCTGCCCTTTTTAGCACAGACACACATTTTTCTCGTCCTTGGGTCCGATTGTTACAGAAGCAGCTTGGTTCTCTGCAAATATAATACTCAACAGGCACATTTTTAAACCTGTGTGATCCAGAATAGGCACTCCACTCCTCATGCAAATTTGAGCTTTGTAAACTGCAGAAAACTCCAGCCTTTATAAGTCAGAGGTATTAAAGTGCACTTCACTGTGAGTCATGTTAGTATTATAGACATCCAGCGAAAGGAGTGGTAGAAATATGAGGGCTCAAGAAATAGAGGAAATGAGGTGAGGTTAATATAGCAGTTATAGGGAATATTAAAACTAGACCAGTGTTAGTGAATATGGAACATTACACGTGATCTGTAATTATGATTATTAATGATTCTATAATACCAGATTAGAGCCCAGATTCTAAAGATTACAATACCATCTCTTTAATAAAGACATAGTGACCTCTTTTGATAGAATATATATGACAGATTACATGGTAGGAAAATATATATATTGGTATTTTAAAGGGCGCATATTACGCTATTTTCTGGTCTGGTTATAGTGTTGTTTTCTTATCAAAAACTGGAGTTATGTTTTGTCTCATTCTCACATGTTTAACACACAAATCTTACATATTTAGTTCTTCTCTCTAACAGAAAACCATTCTGTTCCACTCTGAATACTACTTTCACTATACAGTAAGTAGGCCAAAAAGAAACTGAAAACACTTTAGGCCAAGTTTGAGTTTATGATTTTGGATTTATTAGTAAATTAATATTTTTATGCAAATTTTATAGTCTTGCAAAGCCCTCTATACGTAAGATACAAGTTATCGTATTTCTGGTCCAAAATGAGGAGTTGTAAACATCATCTACCGTAAAACATCATTACGAAAGTGAGTTGTTTGAGCTGAGAGACAAACAGGAAGGCTCTGACTCAGTGTCTTATCCAGACTGTGTAACATGAGCAGTGCGATGCATTCATGGCCTCTCTGTCGTTATAGCGCTGCTCCTGCTGTCTGCCTGATGCATTCACAGTCCACACACTGACGCACATGAGGTTTCAGCCTGTCCATTCAGGAAATATAGACTCTATTTTGGTTCAAACTTAAATATCTTGTTGACAGGAGTGGTGTAAGATAGTCCACATAGTTGCACATGCAGTTATTTTATGCTCCTAAACTTTGCAAGGGTCTCTTTCAGCTCCATAAGTTTTTACATTACTTTTAGGCCTGCACAGTATTTCACATATTTCAAAGCAAGATTGAAATTTGAGTTGACAAAGTACAAAATCACAAAGGCTGCAGGTATTTTGATCATGAAATCTGCAAAGAACAAAGTATTTTGTCTTTTACTGAAAAAGGTTGTACCTGTTTTAGATCAACAGATGTGTTCTGAAAAGTATGGGATTCTCGTAGTACTCAACATAAATACTTTACCTTACCTTATGTGATTTAGATTGGGTTAGACCTGGTTTAGTCCTGGTTTAGTACAGTATGACTTAATTAGATGTGTTCGTCCCATGTTGCTCTTTTTTGAGTCATATACTGTATTTTTAGATTACTTGGTTTATTCCAGAATGATTTAGTTAGATTTGTTTGTCCCATGTTTTTCTTGGTTGAGTTCACATATTTTGGATTAGTGGTTCAGTCCTGGTTCAATCCAGGTTTAGTCCTGGTTTAGTCCTGGTTCAGTCCTAATTTAGTCCTGGTTTAGTCTTGGTTTGGTCTTGAGCGACTTCTTAGTTCTGGTTTAGTTCTGCTTTAGTTCTGGTTTAGTCCTGGTTTAGTCCTGGTTTAGTCCTGGTTCAGTCCTGGTTTAATCCTGGTTCAGTCCCGGTTCAGTCCTGGTTTAGTCTTGGTTTTGTCCAAAATGATTTAGTTAGATTTGTTTGTCCCATGTTGCTCTTGTTTGAGTTCACATATTTTTAGATTTCCAGTTTAGTCCTGCTTCAGTCCTGGTTTAGTTCTGGTTCAGTCTTAGTTCAGTCTTGGTTTAGTCCTGGATCAGTCTTGGTTTAGTCCTGATTTAGTCCTGGTTTAGTTCTTGTTCAGTCCTGGTTTGATCCAGGTTCAGTCTTGGTTTAGTCCTGTTTTAGTTCTTGTTCAGTCCTGGTTTAATCCTGGCTCAGTCCTGGTTTAGTTCAGCATGACTTGGTCAGATTTCTTTGCCTCATGTAGCTCTTGTTTGCGACCACACAGTTTTAGATTTCTGGCGTAGTCCTGTTACTTGAAGTGAAACATTTTGAGGGTGACTGTCTCGGAGCCTGTGATGGAGAAATTCTGTTTACTGGCCTCAGACTTCTCATCCTTGTAATGAATTAATCAGAAACCTTTGATGCGCAGACACCAAATGCTTGTTTACTGAAATGTCCCACCTAAAGGGGAGCACTACATCTGCTGCTACAACCTCATTTATGCCAGAGAGCTGATCCAGTAAAGCCTCATATATGTTGTTAATTAGTTTGTCACATA